CTGACTGATCAAAGGCAGCAGCTGCTCCTTGGAAAAAGAAGAGGACGCAAGTAGCTCTTGCGCTACTCGGTCCAAACGTGCATAAGGGCCTGACCTCGGCGGCACGGCCATATCACCTGTGCCAACGACCTCTGCACCTGAAACCTGCGGCGCACCCTCAACCGGCTGCGGCATCATTCGGCGCCGCTTCTGCCCCTCGATGCAGGCACCACCCAGAGAGCACTGCGTAAAGGGATGCTCCTTGAAGCACCGGAGCAAATGTGAAGGCCTCGCCTCCACCTCTTGCCAGCCTTAGCAAAGCGGCAGCCATCACGGTTGAAAGGGAAGCAAATGGGCTTGCCGGATGTCGGCTCCTTCGCGCTACAACCCTCAGGAATGTCAATGGCAGGCTTATTGGGATCCTGCTTCCCCCCTTGTTTACCTTCGCCCTTCTTTCCCTTGCCGTTGCCCTTCCCCGGACCCTTGGAAGGCGCTGTCCACGGAGCATTGTAAGGGCCTGGACGCGTTGGACGCGGCTGAGGGATCATGAAGAATTGGATGTGGGCGGAGCCCTTGACCTTCTCCAAATGCATCTCGAAAGGCATCGACCCGTCCGGCCGCAAAGACAACTCGCCCTTGGTGAGCTCAGAGATTCGCATGAAAAGTTGTTTGTCGGCCTCCCTGACCTGGGCCATGGAAATCCATAAGCAATTCGGGGGTGGATCACGGCACATTGCCTGGAAGAGCTCATCATGGTACTTCTCCATCGCAAGGTACGAGCACAACTTAGCTTGGTCGAAAGCCAATGAGCGCCGTAGCAGAGCTTGGCGGACCTGGAGGTCTCCGGTGAGGGAGCACATACCATCAAAGAACTTCTTCTGCAACTTGAGGGCTCCAGAAGGATCGAAGGTGATGTTGAGGTCAGCCTTTGGCGCCGCCATTACCTCCGAAGCCCGCGAAGTGAGGCGCTCCCACGGAATCCAACTCAACTGTTGATCCAAAGACATCTGACAAACAATGTCAACTAGCTTGTGACTGGGCTCCAACTCCGGGGTGATTGACACCCCAGTTAACCTGGCCTTCTGATCAGCCAGCCGAGAGGTCCCCTCTGCAATGGGCGACCGCATCGGCTCCGTCGCATCCGATCGCTCCACCTTGAGCTTGAGCTCGGCCATGGCTGATGTACTCGCCTCAAACCAGAGACGCCGCAGCGGGACCAGCTCCTGAACGCTCGGCGCGCGACCCAAGATGGCCGTGAGGGCATCGATCAAAGGGGACTCATCCGGCTGCCCAACTTGGTACGGGGAAGCGAAGGCCAGGCTTCCAAATGTTTTGATGTTCCCGTCCTTGAGCTTCTGCAGGACCTCCGCCTTCAGCCCGAGCTCCTTAGCCCCAGCCTGGAAAGCTGCTTCTGAGTCAAGGGTCGAAGCGCTCATGTTGCCCTCTACGACTGCCTAGGCCCTGCACTCTTGAGGTGCTACACGCTGCAGCGCACACCCCCAAGTTCTGTCTGCGGCAAAATCCGTTCCGAAACCACAGATCGTCCATCGCCTCAACGGCCATATGGCACAGGCTCCTAATCGTCCGCGACGATCCAGACGACGGCGCTCCTCTCTGTGAAATTCAAGTCAACGCCCGACCGCTCAATCATCAATACGAGTCCCAACGGCCAAAAGGCTCTGGACCGCTTACCCCTTCACTGAGCGAGGCCAGCCAACAGCACAAGTAATCCAATTACCAATTGCAGCCCCGAGCACGGCTCCGGCCCCCAACGGCCCGAGGGCACTGGGCCGGGCGCCCAGCAGCCAGCGCCCTTTGTTTTCCTCTCCGGGAGTTCCATTCTCCTGCGCTCCGCTCAATGAGACTTTGAGCACTGCGCACACATTTGGCATATCAGCCACTGGGACATACGGATCAAGTCGCTCGTAATTTGCGGACGAGATCCTCCCACAAAGGAATCTAGCCTTTGAATCATCAAACACGTGCACCACACGGCTGAACCGATGCATCATGCAGGATCTTTCCAAAACGGCATCAATCTCCGAAACTGAGCCCTCCTGGCCTAGAGCTCTCAAAACTTGGGAGTCGGCTGCCATGTCCTCCTCGGCCCAGTCCTCTGCATCCACGTCCGAATCGGCTACCAGGGGCCCGTCTCGGACCTCGTAGCGTGACAACCCGAAGGTTGGATCGTCTTGACTGATAAGCTGCGCCAGTCTCCACACGCGGGACTTGTCCGGGAAGAACTTGCCCTTTCTGATCAGGAGAAGGACCTGGAAGACCCTCCTCATAAGCCTGGTGAGTTCATCCCGGCTGTAAGTAACGGGGCTTGTAGCGGAGGGATCCCAGTGGTGGCCGAGAAGCCTCCTCACCCGTACTCATCGGCCGGCTCAAGAAGGCTCCGTCAGACTCGGACCAGGCTGGCAGAGCCGGGTCGAGGCCCAGACCAAAGCGCTCGCGAGCCTCAAACCAAGCGCCGGCCCACTCTGTGGGGTGAAAGAACTGCCCGAACGAGCACAGGGGCAGGAACTCTCCTCTCTTCGCCGAGGCCATGGTCTTCCAATGCTTTGAATCTGCTTCAACCAAAGTGAGCCCCCCTTCCCTCTGCAATCTCAAAGAACTGAGCCGCACCGTGTCACCAAATCGAGCACTCGAGCCCAGCGCTAACAACAAGTGCCCGGCTATGACCTTCCAGTGCTCGTAGGGCGCCAACAGGACCACCTGCTCGAGGGCCTTGACCATCTTGACTGCTAAAGGGTAGGCCTGCCTCAAAGGAGCCTTCAGTTGCAGCATCCCTGCCGAGACTCCCTTGACCCGGGCAGACTGAGTCAGGTACGCGTTGGCGTCAGTCAGACCTACCATGGCATGCACAAAGTTCCAGGCCACCGTAGATTTGGCGTTGGCTTCAAGATGCAGCGTGTACCGGTAGATGACGGGTTCCGAAGCCCTAAGAGGGGAGGGAATGCCATTCGACTCGCACCAGGCCGCGAACCTCCAAAGCGAAGAAGCTCTCTTGACCAAGGTGCCGGTCGCCTTAGCCTGAAAAGTGTGAGAGAAGGACTTTCGCAAATTGTCCTCGTTCTTGAGTAGCGCAGCCTCCGACAACAAGGTCCGCCCGAGGCGAGAAGCATCCATGTCAAGGGAGACCAAAGTTCGAATTTTTCTCAAGGCCTCCCACCGGACTTGATCCGGCGTTTGGATCAAGCTCGTGAGCCAAACCCTCTTCTTAGCGAACTCCCCGATCCTTGAAGCAAGAAGCCCTTCGGAAAGCTGCCCTGAGCTTGCAGAGTTCGCCCCCTCGGGAGGCAGAGGCACAGCCAACTTCGGCCTCTTCGGAGCATGGCCAAACACCCACTGAAGCGGGCCACGCTGCCATGGGTAGGATAGCACAGCGGGGAGCTCGCGGCGCCTCAACTCCTTAGCCAGCTCATCCATTGCATAGCCTGTGGGATCTGGTCGAGATGCAGCCGGAGCCTCAAAGACGCCACCTGTGTTCGGAGGAGAGATACCTCCCGGCGGCGAAGGGGCCTCGGAGAAGAGCTTCGGAGCAGATTTGCCGAGGCTAGCAGCGAGGCCAGCCCTTAGACGCGCGTCGTCTTCATCTGCACTGGAAGACGGACGGTCTCGAACTCCACTGGAAACTTCCACAAAGCTGTCGGTGAGGCTATCTCGGCCCCGCGGCTCGGACTCAGGATCTGAAAGGTCGAGGCCCTGTTCGTTCGGACCCGATTCGCCCCCACTCGAACGTCCGAAATCTGGGGAAAAAGAAGGAGCATCCGAATCCGAAGACATGGCCCTCTCAGCGTTGCAAGGAGAGGGCATTGTGTAAGCAGATCTGGGCTTCGCGGCTTGAGCGGCCCAAGCGGCACCAGTCGCCCTCTGAGAGATGCAGCAGGATGCGGGGCCCTAGTGAGGCCGTGCCCAGAAAACGCTCGAAAATGGAAACCTCCTCCCTTTCAAGAACCTCGGCCAGCTCAGGCGAGCAATGATAAATCTGCAAAAGCAAGGCAGGCTGATGAAAAGCCCGCGGGCGAATGCGCACAAGAGGAGGCCAACCGCCCTGTTGAGCCGGCGCCGAAGAAAGTGAGCTTGAGCTCTCGGAGGTGCTGCTGTCCATCCACAGCCCAGCTAGGGCAGCTTGAGAAAGCC